TTCAGTGGTGCAGAATTGCCCCTCTAAGTTTGTCAGGGTGCACCTTTTGACTTGCTGTGCTGAAAAGTTTTCCTCCTTCTCTTACATAAAACCAGCCACTTACTCAGTAAAGCCACTTAACTGATAGAAACCATATAAAATCTTTAATCTCACCACGAAGAGCAAATCACCTAGAAAAGGTAATTTCCATGATATTGTAGTTCTTAGAATTGGTGGCATTTCCACTACTGAATAGCAAAGCTCGTCTTCAGTACAGGGACAGCAGAATCAGGATGTAGTTTAGTAAAATTATCCTTGTCTTCCCAAATACACAATACACTGCACACTGGTTGATATGTCAATGTCTGTAATTGGTGATAAAATGTTAAATTAGCCGTTGATTGTGGGAAGTCAAAGAAAGTAGTAGGAATTTTAGTGGAATACTGTTCAATTTTTACAACATGAATTAGTATGAAAAGATGTAGTCAGTTAAACCTTGCAAAAACATGGTAAAAGGAAGATTTCATTATATTCTTTTCTTGTAGGGATTTTTTAATTCCCTACGGACTGAGCTGACTGACTACCCTGAGATCAGCATCATCAACATCTGCCCAGGGCCTGTGCAGTCCAAGATTATCCAAAATGTCTTTACAGAGAATCTTGCAAAGGTAAGAACTCAGTTCTGTTGTTATAAACTCAACTTTTGCTGCAGGGCCAGTGATCCTTTCATGGTTTTCTTTTCTTTTCCTCCTCCCAGCAAACACTGACCTCATCTTTTTACCACAAAGTGCTTTGAGTGGTACAGAACTGTCCAGTCTGTACGATTAAAAAAAAAATTGAGTTTGATAATTGTTTTATGCCTTCTCTCTTCCAACACATACAACCCAAGTCTGGTAAAATTTACTGTACAGCCCCTGTACTGCAGTTCTGGGGGAAAGTCCAGGCTTTTCTGGACACAGCTCTGCCTGCAGAACACTGTCCTTGGGCACAGGTAGGGTTTTGTTTGCCCTGGTCACGCTGTGCCCTGGTGGGTGACGCTGCTGCTGGCAGAGCCCCAGCTCAGCTGACGGGAGCTGTGCATTCCTTTCCTGTTAGGGATTGTTCCAGGAGGAAAAGCAAAACCTTCCAACTGCACAATGGCTTTTAATAAAGGCTGTCCTAACAAAGCAGCTGGCAAAAAAACTGCCACTGTGATACATCAAACTGTAATCTGCCCCAAATTCAATCAATCTGAAGCTCAGGATAACCCACCAGTGAGGGGGAGGGGTTCTCCCATTGCTGAATCCAGTTCTGGAAGGATTTTTGGCTTGCAAAGCTTGATAATTGCGTGAAAGAAAAGATGTACTCTTTGAGCAATGGGGAAAGCTTGCAAAACACATTCCTCAGATTTCAGCGTGACAGAAGACCAGGGAGGAAGAGCAAATCTAGACCAGAACTGCTTTTGCCCTGGGAAACAAGAACAGATTGCTAGAGCAGTGTGTTTGTGCTGCAGTGAAACATGTGTAAGTTCACAGGGGTGGTTTATGTTCACTAAGTGATACATGGGGACGAGACCTGGGGTAGACATCCCTGCTCCAAGGCAGCCTCCTGCTTTTCCCTTGGCTGAGATTGCCCATGGAGGGAGAATTGGCAGGAATATTTAAGTTAATGGGGAATGTGTCCTCATCAGCTAACTTGGTTACTGAGTAACTTGTAGCATAGAAGGGGGCAGAAAGCTGGGAATGCTCCCATTTCCCATGGGGTGTTCCCATTTCCTGGAGCTGCAGGAATGGGGGTAACCTGTTCCAATAATCTGTGTCACCATCAAGTAGAAGCTGTGCTGAAGCAGGGCAGAACTTGGAGATCCATTGTTTTGGTTTTTTTTTTTTAAACCTTTGACCCATCAATCAAGGCATTAATTAAAAAGGTGCTTTAATTAAGCCAAAGGAAGGTGGGAAGTGTTCCCACAGTTAAAACCAGCCCCAGCTTCTGCCGTACTGGCTGGGCAGGCTGGGAGGAGCATGCCTGTCACACAGAGCTCGGCCTGTATCATTCCCTGGGATCCAGCTCTAATCCCTGCTCGCCCTCTCTCCCGCCCAGTCCATAGAGAACAGCGGTGACCAGTCCCACAAGATGCCCACGGATCGCTGTGCGCGGCTCACCCTGGTGAGCACGGCCAACGACCTGAAGGAGGCCTGGATCAGCGACCACCCCTACCTGGCTGTGTGCTACCTGTGGCAGTACGCGCCCACCTGGGCCTGGTGGCTCATGAACAGGATGGGCAAGAGGAGGATACAGAACTTCAAGAGTGGAGTGGTAAGCGCTGAGTGACTCTTTCGCCCAGGGAATGTTGGGATTGCATTTTGGATCCGTTCCTGGTTTGTTGTTTGTTTTTTTTTTTCCCTCCTCACTTCCATAGCAGCTGATGCCCAGCCAGAGACCATTCCTGCAGCCTGTTAGTGTAGAGTTACACGGTGTGAGCACAGCAAAGTCAGCACGTCTTGTAGTGCCCCAGGCCTTGCTCTGATCTCCATCACACAGGCTGCAAGTTCAGGACTCACCATGAATGCAGAGTTATAAGTCACTGGCGTAAAAATTGTTTAATGCAGCTGGGAATTAGGACTATGGAAAAAAATCTCCCTTGGTCGTGTCTAGTTTTTGTGTCAGGCACGTAACCTGAGCACCTCCCAGGAGGGTGTTCCACAGTGCTATTGTCTGTCAGGGCTCTTCACCCACACTGGCAGCCCCAGGGACAGATGTGCTGCCTTCTGTCCCTGCAGTAATGCTTGGTAGATGCTATTTATTATTACTGTGTTTTTGTTGAACTTGGCACAAAAAAACCCACATTAAAAGTACTCCAAAAGCAGGAAATGCAAAAATGAAACTTCCTACTTCCACACTGTAACTGCCCCCTGTCACAAGCTCTTTCAAAGAAAAAACACTGTGAGTGAAGAAATTTAACACAGCAGAAAGTGGGGGGTGAAATACTGATTTAATGTCCTCTCCCTCCAGGATGCTGATGCCTCTTACACAAGAAAGAAGAAATAAGGATGGGCCTGTACAAAATCATGCTGTTCTTGTGCTAAGGCTGAGAAACTTTTCATACTGCGTGACTGCAAGCAACAGTTTTTTTTATCTTTATCATCCTGTATCTTGACAAATCTATCAAGCTGATGCCACACTTGAGTAAATAAAAATCTCTTTCTAAACACACCTGTTTCATGTCAAAATTCCCACGGGCTGAATTTTTAAGCTTACAAGCATTGAGACACACGAGAGGCTGGGCTGCTGTGATGTTTTCCGCTGCTATGACATTGGCAAATACCTGGTGAGCAGCCTAAAAATTATATACCCCAGGATCCTGTTTCCCTCACTTTCATTCCTAATTCTTGTTGAGCAAAAAAAACAAACCCTCAAGTAGAAGGTTGCTGTAGGTTGGGATGTCTGGTCTGTGCCTCTGAAGTGTTCCTTGAGCAAAATGTGTATTGAGGGCTAAATCCCTGAACTTCTGAAACAGCATTTAGAAGTTACTTAATCTTTGGGTCTTGGCACCCCTCCAGGGTCCACAGGCCTCAGTCCTGTGGCTTTTGGTGAAGGCAAACAGTGGATGGGGCAATGGGGAAGGGAGGGAGCAATGCTGTTCTTGCAAGCCCTGGCACTTGTTAAAACTACAGAGCAGCAGGAGAGAGGAGCAGGGAATGTTCCTGCAGCAGAACAGCCTCTGGCAGTTACAGTGTGAAGTAGAAGCTGAATTCCAGCTCCTGTACAGAGCAGAGGCCAATCTCAGCAGCACTGGTGGTGCATTGGGCAGCAGCAGCCATGAGGAAGCAAGAACTGCACTTTTAAAATGTTTACCATGGCACTGACACCTAATTCAGCCCTTGGCTAAGTTACTGCTCCTTTGTATTGGTTAACTCACCTGCACTTACACCCTTGGTGACCTTGCTGTTGACAAACCCCTCAGTAATCTCTGGATGTACCTCCGGCCACACACTATCCAGGTAAGAAAAATCCTTACTTCACCGAGTGATAATAAAAGAATAACAACTCATTTGTAAATTATGATAAGTTTCCAACCAGAGCAAGGAATAAGCCAAGAATGATGTTTATGCCATGAAAAAGATGGAAAGTACTGTCTAGGAAGAAAAACCCAAACCAAAATCCCTAATCAAATGGCAAATGTCTTGAGTGGAGGGTTTATTCCACTTGACAACACACCAGCTCCCACCTCACAGGCTCGAAAAAGGGGATGAGAAGCCTCTAGTAAGGATGTAAAACTGATCTCATTTAAATAAAGGTTCTCCACAGCCACGATGAAGGTGTCTTACACTTACCTCTGTGTGCTGAACATCACAGCCTGTGAAGCAGGGAGGTGTTGGTAGGAGTTGAGTACAGCTGGTGCACACACGTGGTTACAAAACAGAGCAGCTCTCAGGAGTCACAGGGGAAGTGGTGGGGTGGCCTGTGCCAAGCCCAGTCCTGCATCCTGAGTGCAGCACAGTGGTAACCCCAACAGGAGCCTGTGCACGCAGACAGGGCCAGGCTGGAAGGTGCCCTGATTCCTGAATTTCTGGTAAATCAAGGAAATGCTCCAAACCAAACAGGACACGGTTCAAGAGCACGCAAACAAACCAACACGCTGAACAGGGGCAGTCGGCTGCACAGAACACAAGGCTGTAACCTTTGTTTCTGCCAAAAAAGAATATAAAAGAGTGTAACAGGAAAGGGCATCGGGAACTGGGATCACACTGCTGCAAAAAAATGCGGGATGTGCCGATGGCTCCGTGCAGCGGTGAGTGAGGGGCGTGGGACAAACTGCCTGTGATAGCAGGGGACAGGATGTTGCAGGGCATTACAGCCCAGCCCCACATTCCTGTGCACAAACAGGAATTCTGCCCATCACTAATTGTGCTCCTCCATCTGGTACCAATCAGGATCTCTGCTGGAACTCTGGGGCCGGTTACCAGCAACACTCCTCAAGAAGGCCGGGTACCATATGGAGAGAACCCGAGGAAATGAAGGGAAAAGCATCACAGCTCTCATTTTTCTTCTCAACTACTTTATTCAGTTTACAAAAGACAAAGAATGAGGGCAGAAATCACAGCTATCTCTGAATAAAAGACTGCTGCAAAAAAAAAAAGGTCATTAAATTTTCTGTGACCATACGAAAGGCAAGTATTAAGAGGTTTACAATGAGGCAGGGACAGTTAATTGGATTCAGGAAATAACTCCCAACTTTCCAATTGCTGCAAGAACAGCAGAGAACTGGAGTGAACTACTTGAGGGGTTCGTGGCACTCCTGGTATTGGAAGTTTTAAATCAGAGTAAACATTTGCCAGGGTAGTTCCTTCTGAGGGAGCTGAAATAGGTTCTCTCTACAAGCCCCTTCCAGATCTTTTCCATGACTCTGAATTTCCAGATGCAGCTCAGGGCCAAACATGGCACCAAACAGGTGTCTCCTGACTGCTTTGAAATTCCACTACACCACGTGCATAGTTTTTAAAAATCATTTATAGTCACTGATCAGAAGAAATAGCCAGCACCCAAGTACACTGCTTTGTAACAATGAGGAGTAAAAGTAAAAAAGTCCAAATCAGACTAGCCTGGGTGTTCTAAACCAGTTCTACTTCAGTTAAGGAGCAGGTCTGATTTAAATTCATTCTATAGCTTAAGGAAATATAATTACCTACTCCCTGCTCAGCATTTGCCAGCAGTACTTACATTGTAACTACTGACCTACAGAGAAAGCACATTTATGTAATAAGTGGTGGTAGTAAACAGATCAATGAGCCACTGGAGACTGGACCCAGACCTGCTTTCAAGGAGACTAATATTGCAAACCAGCTGCCAAAGTCTGTTCCAACCTGTGGTAAGGTTAAAAAAAATAAATTACTTCTGGCATAGACAGTTGGATTTCCACCTCCCCCCCTCCATCATCAAGCTCTCACTGTATTTGTGGAAGACTGGTTAGTGAGGTGGATATAGGTTGCAAATAACATAATATATATAATATATATCATACATATGGATACTGGAAGAAGGAGATAAAATTATTCCATTTGTACTCTCCTAATTATACACATTTACTTCTTTCATCAGTAGGTCACACAGGTTATCAGTGTGTCAGAGCACACACTGTTTTATATAAACTCTCTTTACCAAAACAAATACTTTTGTAAAAATTGTCCCTTGGAACTCACTTTTGTTAAAGCATGGCTGAGAACTCACAACAACTACAGAAGATCAGTGAAAGTCATATAACAAATGCTAGAACTGAACTCAGTCCAATAAAAAATGGCCAGAATAAAAAACCCCTCATATAAATAGTCCTATGTACACTTTGGTTGCCAACTCTAGGGTAGACAGTACTACAGGGAGCTGTAACCTGACTGGCAGTGCAAGTCACCTGTCCAAGAAAAAAAAAAAAGTAAAAATGCACCAAAAATAGTTAATGATCAGAATTGTGCTGCTCCTCTCTAAACTGGAGAAGAGAATTTCAGCATCTGGCTCGTCAGCCACACAGGCAATGGTGTCTCACATTCCAGCAGCAGGAAAACAGTTCCAACCTTCCTGCTTGCTGAAGGTTCTGCCCAGCACCATCTCTGTGCCAAGGACATGTGCCCACCTGGCACCGCCACCGAGAGAAAAACCTGATCTGTAGTGCACAAATGGAGCACGAGCATTTGATTCCCAACATGCAGGTGAAAAATACAAAATAACAACAGTCATAATAAAAAAGGAAAAGGACATTCTAGAGCAGAGGGAGCTGCAGGAGCTCTGAGGAGTACACGGGGTAGCCCAGGGGCGGGTCAGCAGCCTGCACCGTCAGGTTGCGCAGCAGCACCGGGTGTGCCTGGATGCTGTACCGCTCCTCGTCATCGTTGGTGGCATAGAGCAGCTCCCAGGACAGGTTGGCCCACTGACCTCGGACAGCCTCAGCATTCAGCTTTCCCACCTGCACCAGCAATTCCTGAAGAGTGAGGACTCGCCCGGTGTAAATTCCCTGTGAGAAGGAACAGATCACGGTGTCCAGCGCGTTCTCCGAGATGAGACACGAGCAGTTTGGTTACAAGGCTCAATGACACCTTGGGGCTACATGCCACGAATATCATCCCTTTAAACACAGCAAAGTGTATAAACCAGTCTCCTGGTTTTGACTCTTCCATCTAGGGAGATAATCAGGAAATACTGCTGCCTCTGTGGTGTGATTTTCAACAACAGTGGTGTCAGTTCCTCCCTAGTACAAACATAAACTCTGCACAGCCCTCAGGGAACACAATTACAAAGGGAAAAGAAAGAACAGTGGAAAGGAAAACCAAACTTAGACCTTGCTCACTAGTAATTTTTCTTCTTACCATGCTTGGGTCATGCCCCAGTGAGAAAAGATATGGCTTCTCCTGCAGAACTGCCTGCTGCCACTCCAGGTCTGACACCAGCCCAATGTACCAATCACTGTCATATTCCTCCAGATAATTCACCAGCTCTTCAAAGTTCTCCACTGGACCCAGGCTGGCTTTGTCCACCATAAGTTTAAAAGTGTATCTGAAAGGTGCAGAACACCACATGGTCACTTGTGCAGCAAAGATAGAAGGAAGAAAGGCTCTTCAGGCCACAGAAGGTGGAAAAGGCTCCACCAAACCCTGTCAGTTACTGCTCGTCAGCTGAGCCACGGCCAGTCAGTCTGGCTGTGCTTTTAGCCCACCCAGAGCTAAAACACATCAGCTTAAGCTTCTCTCATTCCCCTCCAACATCATTCCTGCTGCCTGATAATGGAAAATGCCAAAATCTAAATCCATCACAATTCTCTTAGATATGGGGACAGTGAAAATGGGTTGTTTCTTCCACACTTAACACAGCAGATTGGAGACAGCTGCTGTGGGGAAGGGAGGAAAGAAGAAAACTCCATACCACAGGCTTCACTGCCAGGAGTCACAGGCAACATTTATGTAGGAAGAAGCTACAAATATATTTAAATCACATGGGTTAAACATAACTTCAATGAAGTGGTATTCACTTCCAAAGCACAGGACTCTCTAACTTTTTCATATATATGAGGGAACGTTTTTCTTTTACCTGAATGCTTTTAATGCCAGCTGGAATAGCTCTGGTTTGCCTGTTAGCCAGTCCAAACCCACAGACCAGGGAATGCCCCCAGTGTAGGCCCTGAACACGTGGCTCGGGGCAGGCACAGCGTTATCCAGGCCAAACAGACCAAAGCAACACGACAGCACTCCCTGGATGTACAAGTCCTTCAAAGCTTTATCTTCCATGAGGTCTGCAAGTAAATTGGAAGGCTTTTCTTTCAGATGGAAAAAGTCCAGCTGACTCAGAACGAAGTGGTACCATTCCTCTGGAAATCTCTGCCTCATCTCACTGACTTTGGAAGGTGGCACGGGCGCTGTTCTCCATTCCTCAGGGATGCTCAACAGCTCCGAGTAAGAGCAACTAAATTCAACCCGAGGCAACACTTCTGGCTGTTTCCCTTTGTCTACAGCAGGCAGCCCAAGCACCACAGCCCTGTACAATTTATCTTCTGGTGACATTTCTTCTGTGAAGTCTTGGCTCTGTGTTTCCACAGACCCTGGAATAGACAGGTGCACTTTTGGTGTCAGTCCCAACTGCCCAGGTTCTTTTCTGTCTTTTGTTCTGCCACTGGGTTCAAAATCAAAAATGTCACTATCATCAGTCCAGTCCTCCACTGTATCCACACTAAAGCTGTCGTCTTCCCTTGGAGCCCTGGATCTTCCCGCTGCACCGCTGTGCTGATTTTCTGGAAATGACCCTTGTTTGTTCTTGTTGGCACTGCCTGGGCTTTCCCACATCTTTGATTTTTTATAACAATGCTGGACAAGCATCCACACAAGCACTTTAATGAAATCATCTTTCAGGTGCTTTAAATTCTCATGAGAGTCAATGATTCCAGATAACACATTCCTGGCATCGGAGTACAGCCGCACAGGTACCACAGTACAAGGAGTCAGGATGTGTCCAAAATGGGGATTGGGAGAGAGAATCTTCGTGCGCTCCTGATGTTCAAAGGCCATTTCAAAAATCTCGTCAACTCTGTGAGCTTCAGCAGCATGACAGGATGTTTCCTGCAGTTCTAGCCCCTAAAGCACACATGAAAACAACTTCCTCTTAGTCTTCACCAGGACATGTCTTTATATGCTAGCAAGCTCTTTGCTTCCAACAACATTTTTTCTGAATTAAAATATATGTTCCATTGTCAATATTTTCCACCACTGAACCTATAAATCTAACTGGAGAGAACAGCTAGATGAGCAGATGCAATGACAGAGCACTCACTTGCAATACTAGACACAGATCAATGTCTTAAATGAATCTTTGCCCCATGCAGATCTTATTAGTCATTCTACTGAAGATACTGTGTCACAAGCTGGATGATAAATTCCACATCTGCCACACATGACTGGCTAGTATAACCCTCATCTTAAAAAATTAACTATAGCATCAGGTAAATCAGTTACATTGATGAAATGCTACACAGCAGAATGTATTCATGATTTCCAAACATGAATGTCTCAATGTTCAGCATACAGTTACCTTAATGTTAACACCACAGTACGTGAAGCCTTTTTCCAGCACCAATATCCACATCAGTCTGTCCTGAAAGCGGCACAAGTAATGTGATCCAGGCAGAGAGAGACCTAGACAAGGGAAAAAACCCAACAAAAACTATGTATTACTTTGGTATCATAGTGATGAAAACCTCTTCTACATGCCAATGAAAGGATTCAACTGCAAACACAAAATATTTCTGCATCAACATCACAACCAGTTAAAACTGGCTGACTAGGACCTTAGAATCCTAAAGAAACCAGTTCCAAAGCTGGATCTTGAAACTACTGAGTTAATTTTGAAAAAGCTGTGGAAAACTGGGAAACCCTCACACAGCTGCAGGCTGCAGTATTAATACTGCACTAGGGTTAAGCCACCCCACCCTTAATTCCCTTTGTAGAGATGATTTTCATGATTAAAGATCATCTTTGGCTGCATTTCCAACCACTCAGTTCCCACTGATGTTCTCTGGAGACCTAAAATTCTTATGACTGAATGCATTAAAGAATCATGATATAGCACATGAGTACCCTAATGGCCCAATTTGCTGTGGAGTAAGAAGTTTATTTGTTATGGGAGAAATAAATCCATAACTAATCAGGATTTGTTACCTACAGCACCGGTTCCTAAATTGATTGTCTGTATTCTAGCATTAATAGAAAATCACAGAATCACAGAATGGTTTGGGTTGAAAGGGACCTTAAAGACCATCCAGTTCCAACCCCCTGCTGTGGGCAGGGACACTTTCCACTAGACCAGGTTGCTCCAAGCCCCATCCAACCTGGCCTTGAACACTTCCAGGGATGGGGCAACCAGAGCTTCTCTGGGCAACCTGTGCCAGGTCCTCACCACCCTCATAGGCGAGAATTTCTTCCTAATATCCTGAAGTATCTTCTATATTTCTTCCTAAAATATCCCCTCCAATGTGAAATCCAGAGTGTAAATGATTCTGCCAAGTGTCAGCTCACCAGTGACACACCACCACCCATTTTACCGACACGTAAATAGAGGCAGGGCAAGAGTACCTGCTCATCCTTAAATATTTGTGAATCAAAATCAGACACATTGAGCACGAACAGCAAATACAGAGGAAATCATCTGTAGTCATCCTGAAACACCTTTGTGTGTCTGTGCATAAATAAATTTGATCCCCCTGTATTAAGCTGGACATCGCCAAAAATACAGACACACAAAATAAACCGGAATTTGAAAATAGGGTTCTGAATGACATCAAAGTAGTTAGTACTCAAAAATCCCACTGCAAAAATTAATGACACTTTCGGCCAAAAAAGCCACACAAAAGGTACCTTTTCTCTTTTCTACCTATTTCAATAAAAAGTGGAAGGCCAAACTTTCTAAGAACTGGTTGTTATACTGTATTTGAAGTATAGCCTAATGTCAACTTTCCTAAAACAATGGTTCTGTCCTTAAGCATGACTTTGCTGCCAGTTTATGACCTGCTTCTGCTGTCACTCATGTCCAGTGACCACTCACTTGCACAGAGAATTTTAGTTTTAGAACGTTGTAAGATGAAATCAGTGAAACCAACCATTAAGCTGTAGTTAAAATTTAAGTAACCTTTTCTATCCCACTGAGCTAATGAAGTGCATTTTCTTGCTAACATTTTGCAAAGATTTTAATTCCTTTCTTGCTAGCTGTTAAAGCTACTAAAACTCCTTTACACAGAGAAAAAGTACGGGTTTAAATTAGTGACACACAAAGTGGTACCGCTCCGTTTTGAACTCATCTGAGAACACCACATTTTTTCTTGCTTGAAGACATTCATTCACAGATCTTCCCATTAAAGAAGAGACTTTTTCTCCCCCCTCAAGACTAGTCTTTTAAATTATTTATTCTGAGGCAGACATGCCATCACAGTCATTATGGCAAAGGGGAAAAAAACCCTATAAAAATATGTACAGACATAACACAGAAGAAAGATATAACAGATAGATATAACTATATATATATATCTATTGTATTTATGAAACACAGATGGGCTGATGCTGTAGGCAAACTGAAGTATCTCTCTTTAGAGGAAAAACATTTCCTAGTTTTATTTAATACCTCCCTCTAATCAGTACTAGAAGTGCAGCAAATGTAAAAGTAAAGCACTTGGTTATATTCTTCAAAAAAGCATGATTAAGGCTAACTTCCACTGCCTTCAAATATTAGTCCATTTTGTCTAATCATAAGCCATTTTCTAAGAGGCTTATGTAAATACTTGCCTCTTGTCTAAGGGCAGCAATCTTCTGATTATTTAGGTTACACAAAGGCTGTTCCTCGAGACAACGAGCTGGCAATTTTAACAGTTATCCTGTCTCCAGCTGGGAAAAAGACCGAGCATTTCTTCACCTGTTTCTGTAATTCTGTGAAATCCCCCTCACGATGCCTTTCACAGGCTGCAAACCCACAAGTGCTGTCACAATCCTACCCTGACTGCCTGCACAAGATATGACATTAAGTCTTATCAACTGGTTCTGTTCTCAACTGAATACTGCTAGCTGTCCTACATCATGTATTTTACTAACATCCAGTCCATATTCACCATAACCAACTAACAGAGCCAAATCAGCAAATTCAGCTTCTGGATCCTGAGCAATGGGATTGATGCAGAGAAAGACACAGTCACAGACAGCAGTTTGACACACATCCTTCTCTGTGCTGTCTGGCAAGAGAACTCAATTTATTGCCTCCAATTAGGTGGGATGAATGCATTCCATCCTTTTTGCTCAGTATAAAAAGATTAGGATTGAGACTGTTCCATCACCATTTAATTTCTCCTTAAAGGGAACAAACCACAGTTATTTTTTTATGGGAATGTAACAAGTAGAGATCATAGAACCATTAGGGTTGGAAGAGACCTCCAAGATCATCAGAGGCCAACCTTTGGCTGAACGCCACGATGTCCACTAAAACCAGGGCACCAAGTGCCACATCTACTTGTTTTCTGAACGCCCCCAGGGATGGTGACTCCACCACTTCCCTGGGCAGCCTGTTCCAATGCTTGACAATCTTTATGGTGAACAAATTTTTCCTGATATCCAACCTAAACCTCCCCTGATGCAACCTGAGGCCGTTTCCCTTTGTCCTATCGCTGGCTGACTGTACAAGAAGGATCAAAGTACCCACTTTTTCCTCAACTGAACAATCTCTGAGCATCAGATTTAACCCACGCCGTGAAACGTGGTTTAAACCACGGTTCTCCCATTCTCCAGCAAAATCACCTTTCCTAAGGTATTTAGCTTCATCAGTGTTGCTGTGCACCTACCCAGGCTCCCAGTGGCCAGTGCAGACTGCAGGGCCACAGCCAGGCTGGGCACCAGCTGCTGGTAGTACACGGTGTCGGGGCACACACAGGCTGTGGCACCCACAGGTCCCGGCCAGCTCCGGACAGGCCTGGGAAACCCGACCAGGAACACGGGCAGCGTGAAGAGCGGCAGCAACGGCGAGGAAAGGAGGGCGGAGATGGCGATGAGGGTCAGCAGGATGGGGAAGAAAACCACGTTGAGGGCGATCAAGGTGGCCGTGGATTTCCGGCGCTGTTTCTTCTCCGTCCACGACGTCAAGAGAATGGCCAAGGCAAACTGCAGCTTGGACACAAACTGGAGCAGGCGATCCCGGAGGAGACCAACCTGTGGGACACAGACAACAAGCATGTCATTTGTAGCCTGTGTCATATTCAGCACTGCCAGAGCTGCCTTGGCTACAATGATTTTATGAAAATTAAGCATGGCTATCATTGATTGGTGTTACTATTTATCTTAGTGCACAGTTTTTAGCTTCTGGGCTCTGTAATTCTCTAACAGGAGAAAGCAAGGAAATAAGGACTTTAAGTGACGACTACCTGCTTAAATTTACATTATGACAATTACCAGCAAGAGTCTGATTCCTGTATCAAGGCTTCTGTTCCACCAGAGGTCTGGATTAAACACCAACATTTGTGCTATTGACACAATCACAATGTCCAGTAAGGCATTTTCTGTATTCTGCCAGACCTAAAACAGAGATATGTTAGACATACGTTTAAAAATGTATCTATTTATCTGTGCTTTCATGACCTGGAACGTTTCTTCCAAGCCACCTTAATACTTAAATCACGCAGAAGAGCATGTCTTAGGCTAACAGATTTAAAATTCAAATTACCATCCTAAATATTCTCGTGAATCCAATGCAAACAGACACAGAATGAAGGTTTTGTAGCGAACGGTCTAGTGACAGGAACGCTATCATAGCAAACGGAGACACTGGAATTGAAATAAAAGAATCATTGATTTCCTTTCAAAAACATAATACAAGTCTACAGAGGTAAGCAGTCTTATTGCAGAATGGAAATCTTAATAAAACAACTCTTCCCTTCATTATCAAACTCCTCTTTGTGTTACACTCTCAGGATATCGAACAGCTCGTTTGCACTAATGGCCCAGGACAGCAAACATTTACATCAGTGCTCAGTTGTCACTTGCTGTTACGGTTTTTCTGGTCTTTATTTGTTTCTCCAAGAGAATGGGAATTCTCAAATAAATAAAAATAAAATGGAATAGCAGTCATCAATCCACTTTCCCAAATGAATGCTTCTTTATGAAATAGTTTAAATCAAATTTTTATTCCCTCATAAGTAGATGCATTTCTCCCTGACCTACCAGAAAGGAGGTTCCCTTTCCTAGCAAGTTGTAAGAACCAAATATTTAGTCAGCTTGAAAACTCTTAGATCACTTTGTTGTGAGAACATTTTAAAAAAATCTGCAAGTGCCATTTTTTTCAAAAGTGAGTACTTAAGTCACAACTAAAATCCTTTAAGAGGCCTTGCTTTCTGAGCTGGGCTTTTAAAAAGCTGAACTTTTTAGGTTCACCTCTGAAAAAAAGGAAATAAATAAAATCACTTTCAAATATTCTGGACCAGTAACTTTGACCTCAATGCACAATTTATCAAGACATCAACAAGTATTTCAAGCTACTTGGTTTTTTAGTTCATTTATAGAATCTTGCACATACAGCAGTTCTAGGGTTGTTTCAATCTCCCTACAAGCATCATCTAACAAACAACAGACAGTGTGTATTCCTACCTAGTGTTAGTAAAATCCTCCTGACAACACCAACTTTCATTAGCCTTCTTTGCTTCTCCATGAACACAGTCACAGTCCTGACATCCTTTGGGTAAAAGGGGTTTCGGAAGACTCCAAACAAGTACACTCTCTGAATCTCTCTAAGAATCCACATAATTATAAGTAATAGGATGAGAATGTAACTTGCTATGGCCTGAGGACTGGCCTGGGAGAATGATGAAGAGCCTGCAAATCGGTGCAGCAGACTCGCTTCCGTGAGGGCAAATGTCAACACAGTCAAATAGAAAATAAATTCCCTCCACCCAAATTGCATCCTAAGACCTCTGTGCATATTTTTAGGTTTGCTGGAGGCTAAATGGCTGATCATGGTGTGTTTGAAGGCAAAACCAATCTCGCTTAGGTTAAGACTCAGTATGAACCCAAATCCAGTCATGAAGAGGATCACACCGAGAGTGCTGGGAATGAAATACGATGCTATTGCTGTTCCAGCAGAAATGAGAAACATTACTAATAACCTGTGAAGGAGAAAATAAAAAAGATTTGCTTGAAAAGAAAAAGGTTATGAACAATATTGATATATTTTACAATCATATAAACATTTACTTTGTGTTACTTGACATAGGTGAACCTCCTAGTCCAAACTCCAACAGTTGTTCCATTAGCCACAGAAAAAGTGCGTCAAGCGGGGGCAGAATTCCCATTGCCCACAAGAATGGCAGGAAAAGAAATAGGATGTGCAAAATCTGGTTTGTCTGTTCTAGAATGGGTGCGTTGACAGCAAACCTGGATAAAAGAAGAAATGGATTTGACTTCTGTGAAGGAAAGGGTAACTTATGTGTGGGAAGACTTTTTGTTTAAACAGTACAGCAAATTCCAAAGTGAAACCATTACATATTCAACCTACAAAACCTCAATTATGATGTTTTAAAAGGAAAAATAAGGACATACATTTATGCTTGGGGCAGTAACACATTAATTAGAACATCAGAACACAGCCTAATTTTCCATTTAAGAGATTTGAAGTCTTTGGATTATGCAGATGAACCCAGTGATGCAATTATCCCAGTTGTTTTGATACTGCTGTGATAATACACTGAAGAAATACTTGTGCAAAAAGAAAGGTCCACAGGCTCCAAAACCTCAATAGTTTAACAAAAAAAAAGCAGAGTATTTTTTCAGAGTCACAAAAGCAAAATTTTATGCCAGTCCAAGACCCAAGAGGTAAGTCTTAACACTGGAAGAACTGGCATGTTGCCTGCACACCTAAACTCTCTTTAGGAATATAAAATATTATTTTCTATATAAAAGTGTCAAAATCGTCCTGTAAAAATACAAAGATCAGTGTCAGAAACCTGCATAAATTCTGTGTCATATGTAGTTCACCAGCTAGCTAATTCAGTTAAAGGTGGACTGCCAAGATATTTGGTTTCTCTCTACTTTTTAATAAATAAGCAAGTAAGCCTCAAAGGAATTTTATCAGGAATTTAGACAATGTCTGAATTTTCTCCTCAGGAAATTAAAAGAAGAATTTGGAGTATAATTCTCCTAACTTAACTGAAGTGGAAATGAGGGTAAATCTTTAACAAAGACATTTCCAAGTGCAAAACTAGTAAAATCAAACACGCTTTTTTTTTTTTTAATGCATCTGAAGTACCCCAACCATAAAATATGTACATGTGACAAAGTGATATAAATATCACTCGACAGGGAGAACGAATGCATAGAGTAAATCTAAAAGCATCTTGCTTTAAGAGATTCTGCAAATACTTGTTAAGAAAAACCCATCTGAAAAACAGAAATATACAAGTCTCCTATTTGTAAGCTGACATAGCTCTTTTGTATTACAAGAGCACTTAAAAATTCAAGTTCAAAATCCATACAACCAAGATATAGCAATGCTCACATTTGCTTATCCATTCATTAAAACCAAATTCAGAGTCCTTTTTTTTTTGCCTGTTGTCTAAAACACTCTGCAATTGTTTTGCAGAGATTAAATGAGAATATATTCCAGGATGAAATCTGGACATAAATCCAGTATTCCTGAAGTCTGCAGTGTTTAGATCTACAATTCCAGGTGAGGAACATGTGTTTTCAAAACACATCTTTTAAAAGGATAGTGATGCAAATGCTCTGGTACAAAAATACTAAAAATTACATGGTAGAAGACAATTTTACCTGTATCATATGTACAAACTGTTTTAACTGTTCTTCCTAATTTACATGGAATGCTATAAAAATTTAGGAACCTTTTATACACAGCACAGAGCCTCAATTTTCACCATATACCTATCTGGTTTCTTTCTTTGAAGTTCCTACAGTTGATTAAAATCCCAAAATAAATTTTCCTCAGAAGAATAATTTCATCTTTCTCATCAAAAATACACAGAATAACCACTACTTAAATTAGCTAAATGCATTATTAGGTTTACCTGTGTGCAAGATCCACTGCAATAAAGACAAAAATGTAGAAAGGTCTCATCAGAGCAGTGATTTCATAAGTATCCAGTGCTTGGAAAGTGGCTGTTTCAGTAGCTGTGTTTATGATTAATGAATACTCTCCTATACATATGGTCACCCATCCAAATACAAAGATCACAACAGTTCCTCCAATGTTGCTATATAACAAGGTTATTCTGTTTGGCAGCAAATACCAAGTTCCCAGCCCACACAATACCCCTGCCAGAAGGGAATGAAATACAGTGTTGATTATATACTTCTTGCCAGGAATAATAAATTTTACTGTCTCTGAACCTACACAGCTGGAAAATTCAAACTCATCTTCATCTGTCAGGGTATTCTGAATTTGCATTCTCTCTACTGTCACTGTTTTCTGCTTTGCATGTAGATTTGTCATCTGGAGAGCAAGTGCAGTGACAAACATCAGTCCTCCCGACAGTGCTGCAGTGCAATAGTCCTTCATGACTCCCAGCTGGTACAAGAGTGTTCCTACTCCTCCCCAAACCCATGGTGTCAGAAAGAGAATGATCTGGTTCACATATATGTAGGGAGGGGCACAATAGCCTAATTTGAGCCGGGGACCTCCCAGCACAGTCTGAGGAAAGCGCTTCAAGAAGAACTCCTGTTTGTAATCGTTGAGCAGAGGTACATCTGGCCCCATCCTTGTGACTCAGGAATGCTGGCTGAGTGCCATCTTTCCTGTGAGAGAACAGAAAGGAAAATACGGAAACATTACTGATTCTGCAGCTCGGAACCCAGGGGATTCTCGTGTCTTATTTTTATTTACCAAGTTACAGTGGAATTCTGACACGTCAGGGTTAGAATCTGCCAGAATACAACTACTAAACAAACACCTATTTTAAAATGTGAACATATTCTTTAACCTGAAACTTTAGGCAACGAATAAAACAAATAACCTGTTCTTGGGAGATGATAAAACCAGCTCATCTCCACACCAGAACACCTTCCTAAAACCGACACTTTTCCCCACCTGGTCTAATTCCAATCGCATCTTGCCACAGACCTCTAATTCCAAATAATCCTGTTAAGGATCTCCTTATACAAACAGAAGAGTCAGGGATTTCAGTGAGTAGTCACATAAGTGCAAGGGTACAGGCACACAGAGGTCCCTGTAAAAATCAAAGCCTTATGTAATAAACTCAATATAGGAAAATATTAGTAGAAGCATTAAAAATTACTTTCCACATCAACATTGTTAAGTGTCCTCCCTACACAGCCCAGTTGCAGAACAGGATCTCACTGTACTCAGCAGCACAATGAACTAAAGAGTTCGCTTTCTGCTTCCTAAAACACATAAAATTAAAAAATAAATACAATACTTGTGAGTTGTAGCAGAGTCAGCATATATTCTTCTGTATGTCAGCGGAGAAAGCTGAAAAAAAGGAAACAAAAGATAACCTGTAAACACTTACAATGACCCATCAAACTGAAATCGGGTACAAATACTCATTTAGAGAGGATCAGGCAGTGCAGAAATAATGAATGTAAGGTGGTACCAATGATATTAAAATATAATTCTATGCTACTAGTCATGAAAGCAAGAGTGTATGAATGACAGGTAGCAATACTAAAGCTAAGAAATAGGGTGAAAAAACCAGCACAGAAATGCTAGAATTATTAATAATAATTCTAAAAAAGAGATGTTGGTGTGCATTAGGAGATGTGCAATTTCTGAAATTCTGACTTTCTTCCACTGGACCTGTACAGTCTGATGAACACCTACTGCCATCATTGCATTAAAAATTAAACACCCTGCTGCCATGGAGTTGCCAAACTGCTGTGATCCCTTCTTCTAAAATACCAAACGCTTCTGGGCTCTTCTAAGAACAATTTACTCTTTTTTTTTTAAACAGGTATCAATCATTTGACTGTAGGTAGATGCTGGTCATCACGGAATGAAGTCAGAAACAGCACAACTGAGAGATTAAAGGTCATTCACGGGCATTATCACGACTGGAAATTTGCATTCAGGGTCCACTAATTCAATACACTCCACCATGAAAAGCAGGACCCCACGGGCTCTGTAACTACTCTCCATGTAGGATGTGGAATTTTTTTTTTTTTTAAATATAAAATATTTAAAACACAGGGATTTTTTTGGTCACAGTATTTCAAGCCACTGAAAGTTTCTTAAAGCAAGGAGAAGGCAGCAAGTCCTAATGGAAAAGACACATGTTGACAATGGAGAGGGGAATTCATTCCAGTCAGCTCAGGAATTTGAAAATGTAACAGCGACACACCCAACTAAAAACAAATTTCAAATGTAATTTAAAAAAAAAAATCACAATTCAGCCAATCTTCCTTAGAAAAATAAGCATTGCTTAGAGGGTACATGGGCATGAGACTAAGCTGCTGTGAAAGTTACAGGCAACTGAAGTTTTATAGGCACATAAATGACAGAACCTGAGTTTTAAAAGAAACATGGAACCAATAGGTGCATAGTTTTTCTTGAAAAACAGTTTTCAGGCAGCTGTGTTTTTCTGTTCCAAGAAGGGCTATTTTTGTTTTGAGTTCTGGTCTGCGCTTGTGTTTGTCAGTTTATATTGCTAACTAAATGTTAGCAAAACATTCCTCTTACAGTTTCTGGGTAAACAATAGGCATCTTTGTGTGAGACACAAAAATCTACACACATAAACAATATAGTTCTGCTTGGCTCCACTCCAAAACGAGCCATGGAAAGACGTGAATTTATTTATAAATGAAAATCCTGAGACTGAAGCTCACAAACTACGGAAACTCTATCCGCAACCATCCTCCTGGCTTCCAAATAGTCAAGTAGCACATGAGGACTTCAAAGAAGGACTCATATGTGTCTCTTTATTCCAGTGCAAAGCCCTAGCAACAAGACTCCATAGATCAGTGAGTGTTTACAGGACCTGGCTTCAATATACATTCTTGACATACAGGCCTGGTCCCACTTTGACAACTTGCCTGGTTACCCAAACAATTCACACAACAGCCTGTCATCACCAGCGGGGATCCATGCCACATGGATACTGCCACAACAGGGATGGCAAAAGGGCTTTAACACCATAAAGTCACTTAACCAGTTCTCCCCTGCAATATCCTCTCTATGTCCCTATTACAGAAGGAAACAAAGCCTCAAATTCAGGTAGAAATTCACAGGAGGGCATGAATTTTGGTCTAAATGAACATCATCCTTCATGTACACTGGTGGTGGGTCAGTTCAGTTTGGTTTGGGTTTATTTCCAGCAGGTTATAGAATATGTGTACACCTGACTGCCACCTAAGCAGCTGAAACACATAAAGCTTAAAAATACTTACCTCGGTGGTCTTCCAAGTGTTTTCATGTGAGGGTAAGTGAGGATTACAAACCCCCTGCTAGCACAGAAGGGTGGACGGTGGTGGAAGATAAGGAAGAGTTTGTGGCATCCCCTGTCCAGGCAAACCCAGACACACCTGGTGCCCGGACACCTGCACCCCCGGTTGGAGATTCCACTGGTCAGACATCCCTGGTTAACGATTCCACAGGCCAACTTCCAGCCAGGAGCCAGCCAGAGCAGGCTGGGGCCCTCTGCTCAGCAGCGCTGATGCCACCCCCCAGTGAGGCTGGGGACGCAGCATTTTGGGACAACATTCCCCATCCCGCTTCGGGATGAGCATCCCAGGACCACCTTTGGGAAAGGTCACAGGCCACCTCCTCCCGAAGCACCTCTGCCCCCTGGCCAGGCGGGCTCCCACCGGAGCCGCCACTCTTCCCACCCACCCACCTCGCTCTCACCTCATCTGCAGATGGCACATAAATTAAAAGACCCAACCAAGCGACCACAAAAAACACCTCTGTGATCTCAGCTCCGGAGAGGATGGGCCGTCGGGCAGGACGGCCGGGGGGGCAAACCCACGATAAAGAGCCTCAGCGAGGCGGGCACCTACCTGTGGCCGGGGCTCGGAGCGGGGCAGGGGGAGCAGGGACTGGGCCGAGCCGGCGGCGGGAGGAGGAGGATGAGGAGGAGGATGGCGGAGCGCGGCCGTGCTCTCCCCGCCCCTTCTCCCTCCCCTCAGCTGCCGCCGCCATTTTGCCCGCCTGAGGCACCCGGCGCGGACCCGCTGCCTGCGGGAAATGGCTCCGGTTCGCGGGGCCATCGGGGCTGCCCCGGGCGGCTCCTCGGCACGGGGGCGGTGAGGGGCGATCGCCTTCCTGCCCCCTCACAGCGGGCTGTGCCCCGAGCCCGCCGCCGCCCTGCACATCCCTCGGCGGCATCACAGAATTAATTAGGTTGGAAAAGACCACTGAGATCATCCAGTCCAACCTGTGATCCAACACCACCTTGCCAACCAGAGCATGGCACTGAGTGCCACATCCAGTCTTTCCTTAAACACCTCCAGGGACCGTGGCTCCGCCACCTCCCCGGGCAGCCCGTTCAAGCGTCTGATCGCCCTTTTTGTGAAGAAATTCCTCCTAATGCCCAACCTAAACCTCCCCTGGCTCAGCTTAAGACGATGTCCTCTGGTCCTGTCACTGTTCCCTGGGAGCGGAGCCCGACCCCCACCTGGCTACAGCCTCCTGTCAGGGAGTTGCAGAGAGCGACGAGGTCCCCCCCGAGCCTCCTTTTCTCCAGGCTGAGCCCCCCCGGCTCCCTCAGCCGCTCCTCACACAACTTGTGCTCCGGCCCCCTCCAGGTGGGGCGTTCGCAGCTCGGCTTCCACACACGACCATTGTCCTTGTCCTGTAAAATACGGTGAGAGGCGTCTCTGTAGCTGTGCCGGAGCAGCAGCTCCCGGAGCGAAGGGCAAGGGAAGCCCCTCAGTGAATAACTTGTCACCCAGGCAGCTTGGGGTTTCCTCAAGTGTCTTTCCGACCCGCTGAAAGTTGGTGTGGAAGTGTCGGAGCCTTTATTTTTCATCACCTTTTTGATCCTATTCATAATCTTCCCGCATTAACAAAAGTGCAAACCCAACCACATTAGTTTTTTCTTTAATTATTGCAACATTTAACATTAACATCCAATATGCAACATTCTAATGTGATGCTAAAACATTAATCACAAATACTCAATCCACAGCATTCTGACATAATACCAAAATACTTAACAGTTCGCTTAATCTTGGCTATTAATGACCTTCCTTTATGTCTGACTAGTTCAAGATAAGGACACTGGTTTTAGCCTCAGGTAGAACAAAATGCATTCTCAGTTTTCTTCTAGGTTAATTAAAATGTAAGCACTCTCTGGGAAATTGAAATATAAATCCCAATACTGCAATGCTACTTACTATTTCAAATTATGCCTGTTAAACATTGAGAATATTTAATGGAGTTGTCATGCTTAATATAATTTACGTCCAATAATACTAAAATATATAACTCACTGTACTCATTAGAACACCAGGGCATGCACGTCTACCTTAATACCTGTTAAAAAATCACCATATAAATTGTTATAAAAGTTATATCCATTTAAATGTGAATCCCTAATTTAACACACAGGCATGTGCTTGGCATTTTAGATAGACAAAGGATTCACTGTAATCAGGTCTTATCAGAAGCATCATAACCCTTTTGTAGGTCTGCATATCTTTATTCTTCAGAGATAATAAAAAGGCAGTTAGATTGGGATATTCAGTGTAAGACCTTGGAAACACCGTGAAAGGAAAATGCTCATTTATCTCTACTGAATTTCTTTTACATGAAGTTCAGTGGTACAAATGATTCCTTTTGGAAGACAAATAAAGGTATCTTTAAAAAATGCAAGTTTTTTTCAGTATTTTCTACCTAATATTTATTCACCCTGTCTTTCAATGTATCTGTTGCTATCCTATTAAAATTATTTGTACATCTCACAGGTATTCCAAGCATTAAATAGCATCTCTGTGCGATTCCCTAAAGGCTGGTGGCAGGTATTTACTTTTTGGTTGGCAAGTTTCATCCTGTCCCAGTTTCCCAATTCAGTTACAGTTTTGTAAAGATGATGATTCCTTTCTGGAATATGTAAAGCCTAAATAAGAGTTGCAGCAGGGGGAGGCAGACATTATATTTGTTTCTTTGCCAGTTCTGTGACTTGTGTTTCAGAACTCAGAGAAAGTTTCTTCAAAACTCTGAGAAATCATTTTCTGTGATTTCGCTCTTGCTCAAAAGAATAGATCAGAATTTCAGTCAGTGCAAACTCCAAGAATGGAGCATAGTAATTTATTTCTCTGAAGATTTCTAAGAATTTTCTTGGTCATAGAAAATAAGATAAAACCTGCTAAAACAGACTAAATTGTTTTAGGTGAATTTTGCCAACCTCCAGCTGTCCTTTGCCGGTTATGACACAATTATTTCTGGATTTGGGACTTTGTTTTTGGCTTGCTTTTTTTTAGTTTGTGAAAAAGCTATTAGTCCTGACTCCCCAAATAATAATATGCACATTTCCATATTTTTAATGTTTACTTTGTTTAGAGTGATGAGTGCAAGTGTAAATATTTTTCTTGCTGACCTTTCTCCTCTTTAAAGGCAAACAGAAAAAGTGATTTCTCTTTGGGAATGCATCTGTGTGTGCAGCTGTAGGGATAAGAGAAACAGATGCTTTCTTGCTTTTATTGATTATTAAGGAAGAGAGAGCTTGTAGGAAATTATTTTTTATAGAGAATTAGTGCTAGGTAAGAAAAAAGTTTACTTTCAAATTAGATCATGGAATTGTTTATTCTCCTTTTCCTGATGCCCAAAGTTATACTGCAATCTGTAGGCTGGCATTCCCAAACAGGAGATGTCAGAGTGAAATCTGACTCAATGTTTTACTCAATCTATTTGTCCTGCATCCTACAGGGATGTATCTGTCTGTGTAGCTGTGGAAAGCTGCGGATGTATGTTATCCATGACTACTTTCCTGTGGCTCCCTTGGAAGTAATGCCTTTTGACACATGGCCTTAGGCTGGCAGAAAAACATGCAAAGGAGCTCGCTTCTTTCTGGATGACTTTATCCCTTTAAAATAAACTTTATGGAGAGGTACTCCTTTCTTACATGTGGAAGATTCCTATGTTTTCCCAAAGGCAAAGGCTTTTGATGACTTTCAGGAGTGACCACTAAGAGTTCAAGGGGAACATCCATGTAATGAGTTTCATCAACTGAAGTGTCAGCTCCCATTCAGCTGCCCTCCCTGTTTGGGAGCTAAGCATATGCTTCAAGTCATTTCAGACTTGCTATCTAGCTATTTTTTACAATATTAAAATATGAATATGTTTCTTATCAATTTAATTTTGTGTATAACGTGGTTTGGATTTTATGAGAACTGTATTCTTCCTGGTGAAGGATAAAGCAGTCTGAGTTTGCAGATTTCCTTTCAGTTTGTGTAGGATATTCTTAAAATCAGGATCTGGGAGCGGAATTCTTTTTGTTGTTTAACACAGCAAGGTTTTCCTTTTTTTTCCCTCTTTGCATCTAGTGCTGAAAACATCTCGATTCTGGAAGCAATCTAGTTAAATATTTTATGTTTTGGGAAAGACTCACTTCCCGTGGAAGTCTCTTTCGATTGCTGTGTTTTGAGAATCTGTCACTGATCTGAGGAGAAAGGGACAGAGAGAGAATTACAAATTGCAGATTTGTGGTACTACTGGAATCGTAAGTGACAGCCCGGGATTGACTATGGGATATTCTGCATCTTTAGTTTGACAGGGTGCAACAGTCCTGTGGCCATGCAGCCTTCACGGTTGTCATTTACACCACAGTCCGTGGCCACACGGATGTTGTGGTTATAAACGGAGACAGATCGTGTGTGAGACACTCCGCTCCAGCGACACACGACCCTTTACTGCTGGAGCTCCAGGAGAGTTTGTAGCTTCCATTGCAGTAGGAATGTTTGTATCACCTACGAGTCAGCATGTCCTGTGTCCTTGAGCACTTCACCCAATTAAAAATGGTCATACACACACGTGATACTTGTTAAAGGCCAGGTTTGGGTCACCACCATAGGGCATCCAACTTCGCAACAACTTAAAAATATTCTTGACCAAGAAAATTCAGAGATGTCCGTGAGACATTTGGGCTTTGTGCAGTATTGGGAATGGAGTGAAGGAGGTGTCTCTGGAGGGAGCTGGATGCCCACTGAGTGGAGAGCTGCCATGTGGGTCACTAGGGAACATCTCTGCAGGAGCAGGTCTGAGCTGCTGTCTTAGTGCAGCTGTTTTGTGGTGGTGCATAAAGTGCCTTGATCCACTCAGGGCAGGGATGCCCCTGGTAGGGCTGGTACCTGCTTAACAAATACTAAAAGGCAGTGGTGTGGTGCCAGGAACTGCTTTGTGTGAGGGGGGCTGGTGGGT